TTTAGCAGCCCATTTTTTCACGGTAAGACAACAACATCAATGTTGATTTAAATTGACCAATAAATCGCAATGTCGAAGACTATGGATGATATTGAGTTAGAGACTTGTCCCCTTTAAAAGATTTCGAATGAAGATTTTATTATTTCATTATTTTGAAATAAATTGCTTCGTGTAAACGCATTAAAATATCGTTTTATCTAAGAATATCCACAATAACAAAAGATTTTCTCTTCAACAATACTTTGAATCGTGCATTTTATATTTTAACAGACATGCACAGAAAAGTAGGACGTCAAACACCCATTTCATTTCATATTTTTGGAGTAGCTTACCTTTGCCGAAAACTTTCTGATATATTTCAAGTTTGGTATGAAGCATTGGGGTGGCGGTCACGAACCATATCGATATTCAGCATTCCGTGACCTTCCATTCTGGAGATAGGGCCATTTTCCGAAAATCTTGTGGAAGTATTAGAGGCTTAATGATTTGTTTTTTAAAATTTGATATGAAGTATTGGGAAAATGTGGGCGTAGCTTACAGGATAACCGTTTGGTCTCATGAATTATAACACTCAATGGAACATTCTTTTTCTTTTACGTCCTTTTTAATCTAATTTTGATAATTATTTTCAATTAAAAAGATTATTAGATTGGATTCCAGCTTCCAGCTGGTACATAGATTATTTCAATTTAATAACAATTAAAGTGAACCGCAGCTATCCGTACAGTAAATTAGCGAAAGTAATGAACATCAGAGTTTGAAAAAACCCCAAATCACATTAAAATTTAACGTCATGTTTGCCAATATTCTAATGGACACATTATATCAATGAATAAACGCACTTCCATTCCCATCCCTGTACTTTGATCATAATGGCGTTTTTTTTTAAAAATCAAATTTGATGTGAAGCATTGGAGCCAGGAGGGGACGAACCCCGGCAACGTTCTGTGATCTTCGGTTTTGAGCTGCGGCACCTTTTCCGAAACTTTCCGAATGCGACAGGGGTTACAGTTTTTAGGCCATATCAATTTATTTTTTAGTTCTTCTTGATAATAAATTGCCTTTTTAATAATGAGAAAACAATGCAACCAATTATTTTTGGTTTTTACATTAGTCTTTTTCCAGTAGAAATAAAAAGCAAAATTTTAACAGGTGTTCCAGAAGAACAAAAAATGAAACTGTTGTGGCCTTAGTACATTGGTTTTCAAATTTGATATGAACACTGTGACCACGAGAGGACGACACCTGCTATTCTTCGTTTACTGCAACCTTTCATTTGCAATTACGTGCCCATTCCCGAAAACCAAGTGGGCGCGATATAAACTACATTATGTTTTTAATGGATTCTATGCCGCATTTTCCGCAGACCTTCTGAGCTCAATAGGGGATTCAGTTTTTAACAGATATATTTTTTCTAATTTAGTGTAAAGCATTAGAAATATCTTCAATAGAAAGCTTGATCTCGTTTTAACCCCATACGATCACGGTGGCTAAGTGGGCAAGACGCTGGCTCGCTAGCCTGGAGGTTGGGTGTTCGATCCCTGCATTGGCCGAGAAAGTTTATCCAGATTTTCCGGCGTGGTTTCCCCTTGTCAGTGATGCAGGACGGAGGGCCTGACAAGAACAGCTGTCTAGTCGTTCGGTTGGTTACGAAAAACCGAGGTCCCGTGTACACATTGGCGTGCACGTAAAAGATCCCTTGGCAGTTGGAATTCGATATAAGAGAAAGCCGTAGCGCCGCTGCCTGGGTAAAATTTCCCTTATAGCACATTGTATGCCCGTCTTCATTAGCCCAGTTTAAAAGCAGAACAGTAGAACGTTAAACGCCATTTCATTTATGATGATTTCATTTCTTATCAAGGCGTTCAATGTCAATGTTACTGAAACTTTCCGCTTTTCGACTATGACCCACTTCGCATCTTGGTCCAAACCTTTCTAATTTACTTTTTGTTCTTCCATTATGCTAATAAGGTTGCTTTTCTTTGGTTTTCAACGGCTGTAAACGAATCTATTCCTTTACGTGTTTTTATCACGTGTCTGTGGTAAAGGGGGACAACAACCTAGAAGTTTGGGAATTTCAGACTAATCTAGCAACGGTTAGATATTGTGAAACTCGCAGTCGTAGCTTCAGGAACACGCGGGACCATGAGAGGATGAACTTTATTATTTTCATCGTTCCGCGTCTTTGCTTTTCACAGTTATGTCCCCTTTTCCGAACACATTGTACACGTGATAGATGGTACAGTTTTCAATGGTTTTTTTTTAAATTTTGTGTGGAGCTTTAGGACTGTAATAGAAGGAACCGTTTTGATTTTCAAATTTGGTTTAAAGCAATGGGATTAGAGAGGACGGATTCTGTTTTTCAATATTGTAGAACATTATTTTCCAGATATTACTGTCCAGAAAAACTTGTGTATACAACAGAGATCCGATTGGCTATGTTTATTTTCCTGATATAGCTCTGTGCGGGCGCACTGTCACGTTTTCCAAGGCTATCTTAGTTACGTCTTTATAGTCAGGGGCGTACATAAAGATTTTGATTTGGGGGGTGGGGGGGTAGCAAAAATGCGACCGATTGATGCACATGTCCCTAATACGACTGACGCAGTCAAGGGCCGAGCACCACATATGATAGTTTTCTAGGGGCCAGTAGCTGATCTGGAAGCTGGGAATAGGGGGTGGGGTGGGGCGGTTCCAAATCCAGGGCGCCATCCACAATCAAACCCCACAATAAATGTCAACAAAATACTGGCTATAACACTGGGCGTCCCGGTAGAACATAGATCGTATAGCCTATAGCTGTTATCCGATCGTTATCTCGTCGGAAAGCAGTTTTACTCAAGTTGACATAAAGTATATGTCATATAATATGATGATTGTTATTGATTTTGTAATTAAATTTATGTGAACCTTAGAGGCAGTAGCTATAACACTGAGCAACCTGAGAATATTTTGAAAAATTGAACCAATATCCTGGCACTTGAGGTCATTGCTGGGGGCAAATTCTTGTGAACAAGAGAACCAGAAATAGCAGTCAATGGGACAGAATCTCGAAATCTGCCTGTCAATTCCGCCTGTTTTGCCAGAGTTGTCAGAACATTTGTACAGCCTGATGCCCAACGACCCACGCACCAGCGGTACTACTAACTGGGCAGTTCACTATAACCGGGAATATGTCAGTGCCGGGGCAGTATAAGACCACAGAGGAGTGTAAGAATTATGCCATAATGCAATCTAGCGGCGCAGGCACAAACAAATTTCAGATATGTTACTGGCCTTTTAATTTTTGGGGACTGTCAATGTCGTGACAAATGGGATCAAATTTCGCATGTTTTGTGAGAATAGAAATAACAATTATATAGTCTGTCGTCCCACTAACTAGTGGTACTACTAACTGGGCGATTCACTGTAACTGGATATGATAGTGATGAGATTGTGTAAGACAGAGGAGTTGAAGAATAGTGACACAGTAGAATTGTGCGCAGCAGGCGCGAAAAAATTTAGATTATGTAACTGAGCTTTAAATTTGTTGGGACTGGGCCTGAGGGGACTTTGTCTCACGGGGGGGCTTACTTGGTCTCTGAAACGCCGTTTACTGGACTTTGGGATCTGGGGGAATGTTTTGCAGAATTCTGATGGTCAGAAATTACTTACAACATGAGTAAAATACGTTTTAATTTCTACTGGGATTAAATATGCACTAAGTAAAAATTCTTAAGTTCAATAGATCGCTTTAACATTTCATAATTTAAAGATTGTTTACCTATTTCTGAAACAAACTATGCTTCAGATGACTTCTTACAAACTGTTCGACTAATGTTTTTCGCATGACAATCAATAATAAAATTTAAGTTATCAAAACCTCTCAATTTCTTAGACCAACATAGTCATAACAGGGAATTTTGACTAGTTTATTTTATACTATACCGTTGCAATTTAGGTGCACACATTCACACAAAATTTTTCCCTTCTATTTTGGCATTGTTTACCTTAATAATTCATTTAGTCTGAGACCGACTGCAGTGAGCACTTATTTTGAGACCGTCTATGTGACGCAAGAAATTTAGGTGCACGTATATTAAGTATTTGAGGTTTTCCCCTTCTATTCTGGCATTATTTGTTTACCTCATTAATTCATTTCGTCAGTCGTCGATGCATAATTTTGAGACCGACTGCAGTGACTGCACTTATTTTGAGACCGACTGCAGTGACTTCACTTATTTTGAGACCGACTATTTTTCTCCCTGGGGGAATTTTTTTTTTACTTCGACCAACTCGCAGAATAAGGGTAAAAAACATTTTTTCAAACATGATAAGTTGACAAGATTATTTTATACTAAAGTTTTGGGTGAGTAGCGTAATGTATGCAATTTAGGTGCACGGATTCATGCAAATACATAAAATTTTGGATTTTTCCTTCTATTTTGGCATTGTTTCTTGTATTAATTCAGTGAGCACTTATTTTGAGATCGACTGCACTTATTTTGCGACCGACTGCATTTATTTTGCAAATACATAAAATTTGGGATTTTTCCTTGTATTTTGACATTGTTTGTATTAATTCAGTGAGCACTTATTTTGCGACAGACTGCATTTATTTTGCGACCTACTATTTTTTTCGCCCCCCCCCCCCCCACATTTACGCCCCTGTTTATAGTCACTTGACACCATAAAATAAAATCAAGTAGGAACGATCCAAACCATTTGACAAAATTCGAAATCCTAAAAAAACAGTATCGAATAACCATACAAGTAGGACATAAAAGCAGGACGTTAAACCAATTCATTCCATTATCATGCGAAATTTCTTTTAATCCCCTTTTTGACTGGCCATACCACAGGGTTTTGTTACTTTTGTATTTACATATTTGCAGAGTTCCTACTTTATATACCAGTAGAAAGATTCAAAATGATTATGGTACCCAGTCAGAACCTTAATTCCTTGACCAAGTCCATAACCACTGTTACAGATGAAAAACAATTTATTTAGTATACAATGTACAAATGATTTACATATATATTTAATACTTTCATATTTTACAATTAAAAATTTAATAAATCTACAATTTAAATTATTTATATCAGTATCAGTTCAGCAATCATTTTTATTAGTTCTCTGATTTTTTTTATTCTTTCTTTTATTTATTGAGGAACAATTTCAAAATTTCTACAATAAAAGGTATTGATAAGTAACAATTTTATTATTGTAAAAAATGATTTGTTCTTACAATTAAAGCATCTAACATCTTTGTTTTAGGTCAAAATACATTATTGAATTGATCTGAGGTTTGTCTTGATTAGTGATCCGACAAGCTCATGATTAAATATTTGTTTTTAATTTCGTTTATTAATTTTTTTGTTTATTTTTAGGTTACTGGGAGAACTCACAACTCATTATCTTTCATCTACACAAAACAAGTATATAATCTAATAAATTCATTAATTTTCTGAGGAAAATCAAAGAGGAAGTCAATTTTAAATATATTTTATGTTATTATACTCTTCAAAAAAAAAGTAGGGGATATTCAGAAACAATACAAAACTGCGGAAATGCACTGCTGTTTTTATTAGAGGTTACCAGTGTATGTTAATAACAGGCCAATTGCCTACACATGAACATAAACAGTTCATATGGGCGACTTATCTGACGGCCCCATTTCACTGCAAAGAGCTACACTGTCAAAAGTAAAAATGGACGTTTTTGATTTTTGTCTTAATAATGAGTAATTGCTCCACCAACCCTCAGGCATTCAGCAATTCGTCGTGGCATGCTCCTAATAAACTGTCCAATCATGATTTGGTGCAATCTGACCCACTTCTCTTGCAGTGCCACGGCCAATTCTTGCAATGTTGTCGGTTGACATTGACGTCGACGAACACGTCTCCCGATCAAATTAAAGCAAAGATACGCTAAACAGTAAATCTTATGCAAGAACCGATGGGAAATCAAACATGGATAGGATAAACCAGCAAGCGGCAATTTTCATCAACCCTTCCTTGAAGTGTCAAATTTGACAATGAACCTCTCCCATGTGTATGGTGCTATTGCATGTCGCACATGCAGCTAAGTGGTTTCTTTTGGGGCGATAAGTTCTTCATCTGTGAACATACTCTCAAAGCATGTCAAGTGTCCATGACTATTTATCATATCACAACCTGCATAGGTATTTGCATTTCAATATCCCCTACTTTTTTTGAAGAGTATATTAAAAATGGGAAAAGGAAGACAGGCATATAATAAGCCATGCAGTGTACTACCAATGAAATTACGCTTAGACGGCAGTTTTTACAATTACGCTTTGTTGAATTCCAACTGTTCTTTCATTTGCACACCAACACATAGACAAGAACTCGTTTTTTCTTTCCACTGGAATTACTAGACACTGTTCCTGGCCAGGCCCTTCTTCCTACACCATGCTGGAAAATCCCGGATAACTGTCTCTGAAAACAAACTGATCGAACCTGGGACCTCCTGGTTAGTAAACCATTGTCTTACTCATCGATCCACTGTGGATCCCAAATATTGAAATATAAGATTTGGATCTAAAATTTCTCAATAATTTCAAAACTGAGAAAATGCCAACAAATCTGTACACTTTTCATAAAGGTTGTATATATTTTTTTCTGAATGATTTCAAAACAGTTATAGCCTAAACATGTGCTCAAAAATATTATCCAGAACTTCACAATTGTACATATTTACGAATCTTATAAGTGCAATGGAAGACTATGTTTAGTTTCATTATCCTCTGTATACTGCATAAATGACAATATCTGAAAAGAGAAAAAGCAACTAAAACATCATGATATTTAAAATATATAATAGAATATCAATAAACAGTGAGTTAGACCAAGAATTTAAGGATTTTACACAGGTTGGACTTATAATATCACCTACTCCTTCCTTTAAACTGCACATATTTCAGCCACTTCTTAATTAACACTATATAAATTTTAAATTGGTCTTCAACAGAAGTTAGGAAGGAACAATCAGATTGGAATTAATTGTAAATGTTCAGATATAACTTTGATAATAATAGGTATTGATTTTTGGGAATCAATACAAATGAGCTTAAAGATTATTTGGAATTCTGAACATGGCTAGTGTAACTAATAAAAATGCTGAAAATAGTAAGAGAGTTGTTAAAAACAAGCCAAAAGCTACAGAGATACGGCTGGTAACATTATACAGACCACGTGAAAATTGATTTAAGAATAATAGTCTATGTAAGCTCAAGTACTGAATCAGTGAACTAAAAGATGAAATTCAAAATGAAATGTGTTTGTTTTTAAAATCTACTTAACACAGTGCTTTGTTATCATTTTGAGACTAACATGGTTAAATATTTGTCTAGGTTTATTTATTTTTAAAGATAGGTTTCCAGGCAACAAAACATACACCCACAGCAGCTAAATCGTTCGAGCAGTCGACAAGGGTTGTCAAATATTTATTCTTTTGTAGGTAATTAGGGGAATTTAATAGACAATTTCATACACATGACATTATAATTTTCGTTGTTTGAAGGTTCACAAGGTTCTAAAAACTAAAACAAGGGCCGTAACTCTGGAAGCAATCTACAGAAATTGTTCAAATTCGACAGGCTTTTTTCGTTTTACTAATTCAAATAATGCATATAAATTTCATACAGATCGGATGATAACTTTTGTTGTTCGAAAGTTCACAAAGTTCAACAAAGTAAATCAAGGGCCATAACTCTAGACGTAATTGACGGAAATTGCTGACATTCAATAGGCTTGTTCGTCTTCATTTCACTAATTTAGGTGATAACTGAAACTCAATAGGCTTGTTCGTTTTACTAATTTAAATGATACATATAAATTTCATACAGATCGGATAATAACTTTTGTCGTTAGAGCATTTACAAGGTACAACAAAGTGAAACAAGGGCCATAACTCACGGCGTGATTAACAGAAATTGCTGAAATTCAATAGGCTTCTTCATTTCACTAATTTAAATGATGCATATCAATTTCAAACAGATCGGATGATAACTGTTGTCATTAGAGCGTTCACAACATTCAACAAAGTGAAACAAAGGCCATAACTCTAGATGTAATTAACGGAAATTGCTGAAATTCAATAGGCTTCTTTGTTTTACTAATTTAAATGATGCATATAAATTTCATACAGATCGGTTGATAAATTTTGTTGTTAGAGCATTCACAAGGTGCAACAAAGTGAAACAAGGGCCATAACTCCAGAAGAAATGAACGGAAATTGCTGAAATTCAATAGGCTTCTTTATTTCACTAATTTAAATGATGCATATCAATTTCAAACAGATCGGATGATAACAGTTGTCATTAGAGCGTTCACAAGATTCAACAAAGTGAAACAAGGGCCATAACTCTAGATGTAATTAACGGAAATTGCTGAAATTCAATAGGGTTCTTTGTTTTACTAATTTAAATGATGCATATAAATTTCATACAGATCGGTTGATAACTTTTGTCGTTAGAGCGTTCACAAGGTGCAAAAAAGTGAAACAAGGGCCATAACTCCAGAAGAAATTAACGGAAATTGCTGAAATTCAATAGGCGTCTTCATTTCACTAATTTAAATGATGCATATCAGTTTCATACAAATCTGCCTATTACAAGTCTTTCTTTAGGCCTGAAATGTTATCTAAATTATCAATTAGTAAAATTAACTTATTCAGACCATAATAAACTCTCGATGTCAAGGCTAGCCATCGATGTTTGCTGGATTAGATTCCTATATGCCGCTAATGGCCGTTGATAATTAAATCAGAAAAAGTGGATAATCGAGACTATGCTGTTTATATTAATGATTTTAGTAATGATGACCGAGACTCTGGAAAAATTTCACCGGCTTCTTTCTCGGCTCACAGTGGATCAATTTGACTGAAATTTTCAGCAAATTACCTTTACACTATCTAGTTTTTAACTATTATAGCGAGAACTGCCATCTCTTTATTTTATCTCCCATAATGTATCTTTAATCAAAGCTTTGTTAGAGCAATTTTGTGGTCCTTCCTTTTAACTACATTAAGATGATCAGACACACCATCAATGGTTGGTTTGGATTTAAAATAGGTTCTTAATTTCTGGTTTTGCAAACTACATAGCTGAGTGTAGTGACTATTAAATATATTATCTAGAGATTTTTTAGGTGTCTTGGTCCCTAAAAACCTTTTATCAATTTTGAATTGGTTATAGATACATTATGGGAGATAAGATAAAGAGATTGCAGTTCTCGCTATAATAGTTAAAAACTAGATAGTGTTAAGAAAATTTGCTGAAAATTTCAGTCAAATTGATCAACTATGAGCCGAGAAAGAAGCGGGTGAAATTTTTGCATAGTCTCGGTCATCATTACTAAAATCATTAATATAAACAGCATAGTCTCGATCATCCACTTTTTTGGATTTAATTATCAATGGCCTTTAGCGGCATCTAATCCAGGAATCTAATCCAGCCAACATCGAAGGCTAGCCTTGACATCGAGAGTTTATTATGGTCTGGATAAGTTAATTAATGTCTAATTGATAATTTAGATAACATTTCAGGCCTAAAGAAAGACTTGTAATAAGCAGATTTTGCTCTTGCATAATGCATGTTTAAGTATAGAGTTGATAGAAAAGGTCCATGAAAATTTTGGCCTAATATTAAACAGGTGTACGTCTTCGTTGTGGGCTGCAGCTAATAGAGTGGGAAGTAGTGATATCGGTCAGTTAGTCTCTTGTGATAAGTAAGCATTCGCTGGTAGGCCTCAAGGTGTAACGGAAATATTGTATTTTTATAATTTAGATTAAATGAAATAGATTAAATGAAACTAATCTAAATTTGGATTTGTTTGGCCATTAATCCATTCATAAATAACATCTGAATTATAGAGAAGAAAATCAATGTGAAATGTATATAATTGATATGTTCAAAGTATGCCTTTGTATCTCACTCAAGCTGTATTAATATCAATACAATAACATAAAGCGTCATAAACATCTATTAGCTGAACAACACAGCTCTATATTAAATAATATACAACTGCTATGTTTAAGACAGATCAGATGATATATTTTGTCATTAGAGCATTCAAGTGAAATGAAATGGAATGGGGTTTAACATCCTACCGTTTAGGGCATTCAATACAGGTGCAATAAAGTAAAACAAGGGCCATAATTCCGGAAGAAATTAACGGAAATTATTGAAATTAAATAGGCTTCTTCATCTCAGTTATGTAAACAACATATATCCAAACAATCAGATGATAAATGTAGTCTGTAGCGTGTTCACAAAAAACTGTGGACGATGGATGGTTGGAAGGTCGGAGGTAACGGCAATATATGACCACATTTCCATATGGCTGTATAAAAATGATATTTAAAGGAGCTAAATCGCTAATATTTGGAACCTAGAAATTGACACAAATGGGTCACAACGCATATAATAATGTAATATGAATGTATATAAACTGATTTACATTCAATCGTTTCAGTTTTTACTGTAATTTCTAATCAGTTATGTTTGGCGAAATGCGCCAAAGTCTCAATTAAATGACTATCTTTAGCGTCTGGTTATTCCAGTCTACACCGATGGTATTTATTGCGCATGTTCTCCAGATAAGAATATAGCGTCACCATTTGACATGACTTGTGGAGTATGTCTAGCCTCAATTTTTGAGTCTCATGTTCCAAATGGCGCTGAAACGCAATATGGTACACGATTCGTGTACCAATGGTAAAATGTTTATTTTGTCTTGAATATTGGATATCAGAAGCCCATTTTTTCCCTGTAAGATCACAAGATCAATGTTGATTTGAATTGACAAATAATGCGTGTTTTCAATATCAAAGATTTTTGATGATATTGAGTTAGAGACTTCGCTACTTTAACAATGACTTTTACTTTGCTTTTCTGGGCGTTAGAGTCTGTACATTTGTTGTTGTTATTTTCAGTTTAATAAACCGAAACCTACCTTTAACAGTATTACTAGTTCAACAATTCCATTGATGATATACTTTGCCACGACAACGATAAATGTTATTTTTGAAAATGTCAATCTGCTGACATTAGTGGATAATTGAAGAAAATAAGTAGTTACAGTATATGCCAGTCTAGAATAAGAAAACCAGAGCAACATAATAATATATTGTAATTCAAATACACAAATTTCTGTAATTTGATTGGTTGAAACAGTACCAAAGTTCGATGTATAACATTTATTTAAGGATTTCCTGTTCAAAGAATTCTCCATTTTACATCTAATTGTTACATTATTAAAGTCCCCAGTCAATTTGGTAGACATCAACAATCTCAAAAAAGAATATGACGTCAATTGTTGATATCTAATCTTTCTTCTTTCAACATGTAGCGGTTGGAGAGAAATAGATAAGATAACCATGAACAAGGTGGAAACACGCTCACATAGCATTTTTGTCTAAAAAAAAGAAGATTGCCAAAAACAGCATTCAAGGTTACTCTTAAGGAATGATAATTAAAGGGGCATAACTCTTGAATGAAGAGATAGGTTGCCAGGCAACTTAACATATGCTCGCAGTTGGTAAATTGTCCGAGCGGTCAACAAGGGTTGTCGCATATTTATTCTTTGTAGGTAATGGGGGGGGGGGCATTTACAAGACAATTTCATACAGATCAGTTTTTAATTTTCGTTGTTTGAGAGTTAAAAAAGTTCTACAACCTTAAACAAGGACCTTAACTTTGAAAGAAATTTTCAGAAATTGTTGAAAGTTGATAGCTTTTTTCATTTTACTAATTTAAATAATGCATATA